GCTCGCTTTAACAACTGGTGGAGAACGGGTTTGGCACCGCGCCAAAGTCATCCCGCCAATCTTCTGCAGCGAACTACACTATACTAACATTTTCCCAAGCAAACAGATGTAGACAGAACCAGTCTGAAAAGTGCAACCGGAGTCGAGTCGTGATTCAGTCGCCTTCTACACACGTTCATTTCGCGAACTGTTACTGTATGTGCAGCTGCGGAGCTGCTCATGCTTATGGGAAAGGGGTTCTACGTAGCAGGATCGCAGAATGTGTCTTGAAAACCTTGACGATGAGAACAGCAGTACAGGCAATATTGCAGCGAATTATCATGTTCGAAGTGGAAGCAGTTGTTATCATTTGAATGCATCCGTGGTTTCGTTCATTTGTACTCAATGACCGTGGTGGTTGGCCGCCTACTTGTTTCATTCTCAATATGCACACTCGCAACCTCGGCAAATCTACACTGTGACAACAATCTATTCTGCAGCAAAGTCCCACAGTGAGTTCATTCATTAGTTGTTAAGAATTCAGGCAGCCTTTGAAATCCGACATGGAATTTGGGAGATAGAAAGATGCAGTAGAAATCGTAGAATTAGAAAACACGATATTTCGAAGCTACTTGGTAACCATCTCCATAGTTGTGTAGAATTCACTGCTCCTTTGTGTGGAACATGAAAATGGTTGCGGTTACTCATAGCACATATTCCCTGATCATTGCTATCTGCTCCCATGGGCATGAAGAGAAAGAAGGCTTGGAAGGGAAAGCTGAAGTCCAATTCATGCAGATGAGCGATCCTGCAGTTTTCTGAAGCCGGCAGAAAACATGAACCAAGTCTAAGTCGATTGTATCCAAAAGCGAAAATTTCATTCTGAATTAGTGAGCTGTAATCACAACCAAGGGCTCTAGTCCGGTTCTCGCGGATGGTGGGGCGTGTCAGCGCGGCTGCGTTTGGCGCGTCGCCAAATCTTTCTCCACCATTTATTGAAGCGGATAAGTGACAACAACTGAACGAAAACGGTGATACGGACGAGATGATACAGTCTTATCACTTGCCGAAAGAAAAAAAACAGGTACGCGCCGTGCCAAAAGCAGCAGCGCTGAAGACTATACTCTGGCGTGAAATCCCTCTTCATATCACGTGGATGGACAGTGTGAAACGATTATGCGCGGGCGCGTTTGTCGGTCAGAATACTCGAAGAACGAAAATGCGCAGATACTATCTTGATGAGCGCTGTATCTCCTATCCAGCGGACCTGGTACACCAAAGCACTTTTGCGTCAAACAAATATCAATCGCGAATCCGTTCCAAAGAAAAGTGGAAGTTTCGTGTCCAGCTCCATCAGAGCAGAGACGGAGGTGTCTGAGAAGTTGAACTTCAGAACATTTAATGTTTCACCCCACTAGAATCCTGACCTCTTAACAGAGATAGCGAGTGATTGTGAGAGATAGTGCTATCCTTCATACTCGTGATCACAAGAGAACTGTAGACTACGGTAGCGCAAACGAGGAATCCATAACAGCTAAATAGAGCAACTGACCGTAATGATGCTCGCCTGAAGTGAAACTGTACAAGAACCTCTGCTGATCGCGACCCTTGCATAGGGCGAGATGAATGGGGCCCCCTTTCTCCGCTCAAAGTGCCCAGAAGCAGTGATAGGACACCGTCGGCCGGCTCTGACCGCGCTATCCCCTAGGTGCAGCACTTGCGTCGTTATCAAAATTCCGCAGCTAACACGCAGTCAGAAGTAGAGAGCCAGCTGTTAGAGGGCGCAGGCAAGTGGCTGGCTATGGTTGGGCCGGGGTGCAGCGCGGGGATTCCGACAGCTGGGTATCATAACCCTCCAGCCCGTTCCTGTGCAGGTCTGAGCAGAGGAAGTGGTTCGCTACTCTGGATGGGGACCCATTCACCTCGCACATGGCAATGATCAGGATTTACGTCGGAGAGTGAACAGCTTGTCGCACAGGGCAGTGGGCACGATTACTGAAGAGGCAGTTACTGCCAGCGTCACTGGCGGAAGAGTTCTGGCCATGCCCCCACAAAGCATTGAGCAGTTTGGTAGACAGCCCTCCTTCAGCCCTTCCACCAATGAGGCCGGCAACAACCGCCCGACTTCAGCAATCGTCCACACTGCCATTAATATAAGGCTTGTTTCAGTCGCGCTTGGATAGCCAGACGTCAAGCGGCTTTGCAATTGGTGGATTTTCAGAAACTTACGGGGGGAGAAGGATTCATATCAATGTGAGGTCAACCACGTTATATCAACCCGATCGGTAATATTAGGCCATTCAGAAACTCCACGTTCTTCACAACATTTGAACAGAAGGACAGCCTCTGTAACGACGAAATGTACACGGGGTTTTTGCTTGACAAAGACGCAATGCGTTGGAACGTCAGCTGTTTATGGACAGGTTCATAGGTTTTTTCTACATATCACAATACGTGGGAAGAAACATGCTCCCCACCTACACAAAAGTACTGATCGCTACTAATCTACTGGCAGAGGGTTACCACAAATGAGAGAGAAGGGTGTACACGTTGTAGGCAAAGAACGCGATTGCCACTCGTGGGAAAAGGGGTTCAAATATGAATACCACAGAGTTCAGTAACTCAACAAAGAAGGAGAGACATTGAAAATGCTCCATGTAACATCCCTGTTGGTTCCAAGCATTATGTGAGCATAGGTGAAGAGCCACCGAGTTCAAGAAGGAGACATACAGGGGGGGGGGGGCAAAAAAAAAGTCATTCCGGCCGAGTCACATATGAGCGAAGTTTTCGCAGCCCAGACAGAGGAAGTGGATATGAGTACCAGGGCGGAAGATACCCAAGATCTTCCTCTATAAGCAGGAGCCGGCTGCCGCCATTCACCTTCATGTACACCAAAATATGAAGTCATCTCCAGTCGCGGCCTGAGTGGAGAACGCCTTTGGATTTCACGTGGCCTCCAAACAGCTGCGGAACTTCTTGAATGGAATCACCCATGGATAGCTACCTGGAGACCAGTGCTCTTGATCTGCAAGACCCCAAACATCGAGCAGCTCCGGCAACGTCGCTAAGGTCCAGGACATCATCTTCACCCCATTCACCAAGGCCGGGGTTGATGGTGTGGAACCGGCCGTACTTGGAATGGAAGAACCGATATTTTCTTTGTAGACCCCGGCTGAAGGTGAGCGCTGGCGGTTACATCAAGTAACTCGAGAAGGATATCCTCCCTACATGTGGTCGCCCGTACCTTCTTGGAGACCTTGTGCTGCTACAGGTTTGGGTGCCACAACACCCCCTGTATAGCACCACATGGAATCGAAGGGTTTTGGAAAAACTCCCGCCTACTTCGAATGGAAGGGCGTTTCGTACCTGATGAAGATGTAATATTGAAATATGTCTCCTGACCTGAACCCACTCAATTAGCTAGTTCGGGCGGAGCTCAACAGGATGGTACACACCCCCGCTCCTCCAGAAGGCTGTGGCGGAGTGTCATTATATAGTAGTATTTAATGTGCTCTTTAATATGGTATTAAGAATGTCCGATTAAAAATTTTAATAATGTGTAACTTATAGCGCCTTGAAAGTCATGGATGCAAAATGACTTTTTTTTTTGCCCCCCCCCCCCTGTATATGACGATATGGCGACAGAATACACAGTTGATGTAGACCTTACCGCTATACAATGATGTAAAACGGCATGATAAAGAAAAAAAGGATGGTTACAAGGACGGTGTTCGCTTATCGTGGCAGAGCCGTGGCGTTCTTATTGAATATTTAGAACCGGTGATACACGTCGTGCGATTGCGAATTGCGCCGCCTTCTGTGAGGGAGGGCTTTTGGACGTTGATTACACACAGATTCCTTCTTTAAATTGAGCAGATTTGGAGGCAATTACCCATTTTCTATTAATCTGTCAAAAACACTACACACTGAAAGGAAAAGTATTTCACAACGGGTAGTTTAGTGATACAAATTACAATGTGGTGCAAACCCACTGAGTCACGGAAACTGTGGGCGATCCTACGCGCCGACGATATCGCCCTCATAGGGAATGGAAAAAAGGAGGACCAGGTTCCCGTGTTCCGAACAACTCGCGTAGTTTTAGCGAGAGTCTAAAGTTGAAAGTTGTGAAAATCAGCGGTGATCGCATGTTCATGAAAGAGTATCACGTAGTACAGCACCTTCCTTGAATAAGGGAACAGCAGAGGATAGCCTTCTGGGGTACTTGATTGATTTGGCTTACACAGGCTGCCTTCTCTTCTAAGAACCCACACTGCAGTATGCGAATCGAAATCTTGCATTCAACTCACATCTCAGTCAACCAAACATTCTAGAAATTCCTTTCGGTTAAGGCAGAGTAATAGATTCAGGGATGCGCTAGCGTACCTTATACCGCGCATCACTGTATGAGGATCGCTGATCCCGCTAACATTTCGGTGCAGTTGAGGGCCTGGACGAGATCGACCTGAGAGCTGTTGAATAGCCCATCCAAGAACCGCCGCAAAACTGCGGTCTCTTATCTCCACCTCCTCTCTGACAGCGTCGACAAAAGCAGCCTTCCGGCGAGTGGAGAGTCCTGTTCGAAGTCCGACGTTAAGGATCACGTCTACTCTTGCCAAAAGAGCGAACAAACGGCGGGCAGTTCTGATTGCGGCTAAAGTTAGGGAACAGATGGCGGTCGAACATGCCTTTTGCAGAGAGGCTGCAAGAGTATTCAACAGCTATACAAGCAGGATAGCCAATCACGATTCGAGAAAATTGAACTTTCAAAAAAAACCCCTAGCAAGACTTCCTCACCAAGCCATGAAAAAACATAAGCACTGAAGAGATGAGGCCATACATGAACAAAGTGTGACAGCCCATAGAAACACATTGAGAAAAGAGAAAAAAAAACGATGACGTAAGTAGTATCCCCCCTCTGTAGCTCGGTACTCGCCATTGGAAGCATGAAGTCTCCACCTTGATAGGGATAATTGACAGCTAGAATACACAAACCAAAATGACTGCATCACATATAAATAAACATGTCCGAAGATCATAACCGTTTCAGCCGAAGTCGTTCACTCCATGTAAAAGGCCGTTTTACAGGCACAAGTTTGGGAGTTACATGTGCACCTGTACCACCAAAATACAGCACGGTCCCCTTCGCCTTTATTCCTCCAAACGAGTGGCAGAAAAGAATAAAAGTAAGGCTCAGCCAGATTCAGAATTTGCATCAAAAAGTGAACGGAATACTTATAGGATTTCCGAAGTAGAATAGGATGCTCACCAGAGAGAATAAATCAAACTTCGGAGGTTGGTGATATTACAGACCAGTTTGACAAAAAGATGCATGCATATTGCTAAGAAATAGCCTTGTCTTCCCTCCTCTCCTATCAATTGCGCCCACGTTTCATAGCAAAGGCTACTTCTACTACCCCCCCCCCTCTACTTCTCCTGCCTTTCTCCAATTTTGCTCGCACCAAGCTGTAACGTATTGTGTTCAATAGCTCATGACACAATACGAAGCATTTGGCATTTTATAAGATGCAGAATGTTCCGTACCCCTAATTCTTCGATATTAGTATCGGCAATAATTAGTTCCTTTGGAATGTGAAAGTTCCCTCGTTGTAAGTACACTGAAGACTTGAGCAAGTACTAAAGTTTGTTCGCCGCCGTGAAGGGGCGTGTCAGGCTGGATGCATTTGGCGCGGCGACAAACCTGTTCTCCACCGGTTATTGAAGCAAGTAGGCGGCAACAATTGGAAAGCAACTGATATGAACGATATAATGCAGCTTGTCACTTACCGCTTCAACAACTGAAAGAAAACGGGTTTGACACCGCGTGAAACCCATCCCGCCTGGCACCCCTTCATCCGCAGGTAGCAAGATGGTACATAGTTCTGGAAACGACCCTACTAGAATTATGAAAAGCAAGAGCCTCGTTCCTCCCGTCTGGCTTCCCCGCCTTTCCCCCCACCTCACTATAAAAGATTTTCCCTGTCGCTCCTTCAACGAAGATCCTTCCTTTCCCATTACCAGAAGCCTCAGATGTGACCGATGCTCACCCTCTTTGCAACCCTTTTTCTCTCCAATGTCAGTTCATTCCTGAGGACTTCATAAACTTTCCACATGGCCCTAGGATCACAACATTCTAGGAATACGTGTTGAAGCCTACCAACAGAACAGAATAAATACGTTTCTGGAATCTGAATTCTTTATCAGATACCAAATATAATTTCAGATATCGGAGTTGTTCATCTGCAATGAACGGTGCATTCAAGGTGGAATCGGCTATGTTCCAAGTCTTATTATGCTTTTATCATTTTCAGTAGCATTCATCAAAAACTGCTTGATGTGATAAAACAAAATGCAATAATAAATGCTAATAAATGTCATTAGAGGAGCAGTGTGTGTTCAACAAGTCTACGGGTTATATATTGCATTCTGTTTCCTCTTTCGTCCAATTAAACGCAAAAAGACAAACTACTGCAAACTCAGAAGATCCTTGTCGTCGACAGGCGTGAGGTGGATGGGTCAGCAGCTGCATAGGATGCCACTCCGCCCAAAACTGCATGGGAACTAGGTTGAAGAGTATGATATCCCGAAGCTGACTCCATACTTCGATTTGCGCTGCGGCACAATCAGCCGCAGGCGAGGTGCACTATGCAGTTGGCTTCGGGATACCGCCACCGTAGCTGTGGGAAAAACGCTACTTGCCTGCGTCCCCTCACTCCTCATTGTTCTCTAACACTGAGTAAATGTTTCACTGGGGACATTGCTAGCTGCGCAAGTACTACGCCTTCACGAAAACGTGGGCGGAGCATGGAGTAGCACTAAATACCACTACGACCCAGCCTAGTTTCCGTGCGTCTTTGAGCGAAGAAACTGGCAAGCTATCGCAGCTGCGAACCAACACCTCGCACAACGATCGTCCTTGGAGGCGAGGGCAGATTTAAGGGCTTTTCTACACCGAAACAACCAAGGCTACTGCGAGCGTTTTTAGTGAATAACCATCACTTCTCCTAATGAAGACGTGAAAGCACTCAGTGAACGTGCAGAGAAGTGCTGCAAAAAATGGAACAAAACCTTTTCAGGAGCATAACTCGACAATGTGGTCGCCTCTTGCCGAGCAGCATTCACTTCACTGATAAGTTGAGACCGAGACTCCAAAATTTGGCCAACCATTTCAAAATGATCGAATCCAACAAGATCAATCAGCTGGAAGATTAACAAATTGACAGAATGATTAGAACTGTAACTTACCCCTTTCGGGGATCAAGAACAAAAAGGCAAGCGCAGCGCTCAAGCTGCGCAATTACCAAGAAGCAACAAGAAAGAAATCACAAAGTATCCACAGTACGCTGAAAAACCTACCTCTCCCTGTAGCTCTTCATTTGTCTTCTCTGAAGCAAGTAACTCGAATAAGTGCTTCGCCAGTGTCTCGTAGTTTTCAGGGAAAAACGTTTTCAAGGATTCGGCCACATCAACACAAGTCAAACGAAGTCCTCTTGATGAGGAACAGGGCTAGAATATGCTCTTTGAACACAGGTTACGTTTTTCATCAAGCAGTCACAATAACAGAGAAACTCGAAGAACAATGGAAACAGTTGAAAAAAAGATGAGCTATGAGCAGAACATGAAGCTTCAGGTCGCTCTTAATGGTTCACTGCTGCTCTGCTAACGACTGCACTGGATCACTGCATACCCTATTGTGGTCAGCGGGGCAGTTCGACGACGGGATGGGGCTTTGCACTTCTACTACTTTCCGTCAACCAGCCGATCCATCTAGAGAGCCTTTTATTGAGTTTACAGGTTCAACCATAGTGGCTCGATGAACTTGCTCCAGCTTCACAAGAGTCAAACCGTAACTAGCGAAGTAGCAAAAGTGCGAAAAGCCCCCTCCCCGTTGCCGTACTGCACCGCGGTCAGCTTCTATGGTGCAACATTTTTCTCAGAACTCAATATGACTATCAGACCTCTCATCAGAACCAGTTAATAAGACACTGGATTGGTCTCGAACGTACTCTAGACTTCGGATGTGGGAACTCGCCCTTTTTTCCGAAATTTCAAAGGGAACCATAGAGAGAAACACTTCAAAGACTTGAGAAAAGAAGAGCTGGAGAGCAATAAGGTCGTCTCTTCCCTGTAGGTGTGAACTCAGTTTCAGCACTTTGAATTCCTTTGCTTCCCTGACTAACGGCTTGCTCAGCGTTAACTCATTGTTCAAACGGTTTATTTGAACAAGCTAATGCGGTTCGCATTCATAGAAGGCGTACCACTTTCGCAGCTCGAAAATATGTAAGAAACGCAACCCGCGTGCGATGAAGTCTTAGCCCCACTGATCACCGGAACGCTCACCTTTCGTCTCTGAATGCTTCCTGGTGCGGTCAGTTTACGCTATCATCAGCCCTCTCCTTTTCTAATGGAGAGAGGGAAGAGGTGGGGGGGGGGGAAGAGCTGATACCAACAGGCGGGATCTCGTCTGACCACTCTTCGCCCTGTGCACTTACAAGCGCGGTTCGGCAGTGGGTCCTACCTGAGGCATTGCGGTCGATTTTTTTCTGCTGTTTACCACGTTGTAGTTCGTATTTGAGCAGCAAACTTACTATTTTCGAACGAGGGTGTGCCTTCAATATAAGAGGTGATCAGCGAGCAAAAGGGCATCAGGGCGACAGACATCACAGAAATGTAAGAAAGGTAGATATGAACCAACAGTAGAAAAAGCCTCGGAACAACTAGACGAAGTCAATAGCGAGAGAAAACGCTTAGGCATTCATTATTCACAGTTTACGATACTGAAGCAAAAAAATAGTCATCCATCAGAGAATCGCCAACCGCTCCTTTCGCCGAACCGCCGCGGTTCGGCGGTTGGGCGAAAAGCAATAGGTGCGTATCGATCTTGCTGGCGAAAAACGCTAGAGCGGTCGAGCTAACTTTCCGCGAAAACGAAAAACGCCGCGGTTTGGCGAAACGCCCGTCGACACGTATCAAAACTGTTTCGCCCAACCGCCAGACTCGTCGCCCAACCGCCAATCGATACGCCTCGAAATCTTTTCGCCGAACCGCTTCTTTCTAGAGAAACGCTCGCACGCAGACTGTGAACAATGCCTTACAGGACTTCTGTCAACCGGATGTACTCTCGTTGCGAGGGTCTAGAAGTAATTCTCATCTCATCTTTATAGTGACATTTGGAGAAAATAGGAAAGAGGGAAGAGAGGAGGAAGAAAGGAAAAGAATGAACTAGGAAGCAAAAAAGGAAGAAGGGAGGCCCAGTGGTTGACAAATATACCTGAGACGTAGAAAGGCTGTGATAATTTGCAAGCATACTTGCCGACGAAAAACAAACGCGAACGGCGAAATGATGAGAAAGCGAGTTACTCCTTTGGCACTGATTCATGAATTGCTGTTCAGAATGATGCCACTTTGCCAGTGTTACTTACTAGGAAGGTCGTCAGGTCGGAGTGGCCATTTGTGATAAGATGTAAATCACTAGACGTGGTTTTGGACGTTGATCTTGAATCTGCCCTTCAAAATTTGCAAAGCGATTCTCTGAACGGAGTTATGGAGCCGCGTTTACCACGCAACAGGTCATGGGATCGGATCCCTGTCGAGCTTAACTTTTTTGCTTGTTGCGCAAACGCGGCAAAAAGTGATTTTGCCGTACTACTACTTCAGTTCTCACCTGAGCTTGTCTGAAGAAAAGTTTGCCTCCATTTATTACTGCGCTTGGCTCCTTGTAGACTACAGTGCACTAGAGTGCTTCTACAAGGAGTCCAAGCGCAGTAATAAATGGAGGCAAACTTTTCTTCAGACAAGCTCAGGTGAGAACTGGAGTAGTAGTGACGGCAAAATCCCTTTTTGCCACGTTTGCGCAACAAGCAGAGAAAGTTAAGCTCGGCAGGGATCCAATCCTATGACCTGTTGAGTGGTGAACGCGGCTCCATAACTCCGTTCAGAGAATTGCTTTGCAAATTTTGAAGGCAGATTCAAGATCAGCGTCCAAAACCACGTCTAGTGATTCACATCTCATCACAAATGGCCACTTCGACCTGACACCTTCCCTAGTTAGATAGAAGTTAGGGAGGAATTAGATTGATATTTGCGAATATATAACAAAACGCGCTCACCTGTTCGACCTCCAAGGAAGATTCTTTGTCTATTTCACCAAGGACAGGAGAATCACTTAGTACACAATTCTTGCTCTACTTCAGCATTGTTCCACTGATTTTCGTCAGGAACGTATGTCCTGCAAGATTTACAGGAAGTATCTAAAAGTCCTTGCCTTCAGATGTATAGCGACTGACAATCGCTTTGGCGAACCATGAATTCACCAGCGAAGTCCGCCTAATTACTATGGACCTTTGAGTGGAGACCTGTAGATCGATAGAGTCTGTAATGTTGTTTACAAATACAGATAGCAAAACTGTAAATTGTATTTCACAAGCAGCTTATGAGCAGGTCAAAGTGATGGTGCAGTAGGCTTGGTGGTGAACTGTGAAGCATATGCTAGTAATCGCATACGCCGAATCGAGTCATCGAACGTCGAACCTTACCACTGAACCACCACGACTCGGTCCGACGTTCGATTCCATGTTCATCGCTTAATGCTTCAAAGCTCACCACCAAGCCTAAACCCTACTGCACCATTACACCAAGTTTACCTGCTCATAAGTTGCTTGTGAAATGCAAGTTGCAGTTTTGCTATCTATATTTGTAAATAACCTTATAGACTCTACCAATCTACCCAGGTCTCCGTCCAAAGCTCCATGGCCAGTTGGACTTCCCTGGTTACTAAACCACTGCCCTCATCACCTTTTAAAGCCTCCATTAAGGAACTCAATTTTGTAAAAAGGGACATACAAAAAGAAAAAGCATGGAAAGCAAGGTATGATATCTGGGGCCAAGATGAAAAAGTATGATTAACCAGAGCTCACCGTAAACATTCTTCACTCGTCATGAAAGCTAGTGACGGCAATTCAAGCGCCGAAAGAGTAGATTTGATCACATTTGATACCACGTCAGATGGTTTGCTGCTTCAAAATCATTGTTAACACGGAGGAATTCAAGAAAAGGAACAAAGAATTACCACGAAATTTGTGCAGCGGATCCTACGACAATGGGATCGGATAATTTGGTCTTACTAGATCTTGCAATATTCCACGACAAAGCTATTGCTTCATGCAACTGTTTCATACCAACTATTGAGCGAATTTGAGCAACAACTGCAAAAGGATAACATCCGGCCTTTCAGAGCAAGCTGGTAGAAACCTACCTTCAGCAACAAGCATCGCTGTGCTTTCGGCATAACTGTCCGGAGAGGGAAATAGCCCAGCCTTTGCCTGATCACGTTCACCGTCGGAAATCTTATCTTTGACATTTTTGAAGATATTTACAGCCATCAACATCCGATAGCAGACATTCGAATCAGCTGAAAGAATTAATAGCTATGATGAAAGACTGTGAGCACTTACAACTGATTAGTACTAAAACGGTAGGCCTTACCTATGACTCGAATCACATTTTCAAGTATTTTTAGTGCACTGCATAACTCGTGTTTGACAATTCTATTTTGACCCTTCAAAGTAGCGAGCAGGTCGAAACGAAACCTAAATGAAAGCGGCCGAATAGAATCAGGAAAAGTACATTGCAGAGACCATATGCGTGAACTTTGAGAGATGGATCGGTGGTGTTACCAGCAATAATCAAAAAGAATCATCAACTTAGCTTCTGAAGAGAAGGTGGATAGGGAAACTGTCCAATGTGAACTCCCTAGTGCAATTTGAAATGATCAAATAAAACTACCTCTCGAATGTTTCGGTGAACTCATCGGGTTTCTCTTCGCTCTCTCTGGCAGCAGCTACCGATTTTGGATGAAAAGGAAAAAGGGATATCATTGCTCCGTTAGATTTCGAAGCTCCGCCTGCAAAGATGAAATAGATCAAAATCACACAGAGTCTGGTTCGCTGCGGATGGAGGGGCGTGTCAGGCGCGATGAGTTTAGCGGTGCCAGATCCGTTCACGAGTTGTTGGAGCGAGCAAGTGACAAGGTCGCATTATCGTCCGCATCAGTCGTTTGCTGCAAACTGTCGTAGCATACCCGCCTCAACGACTGGCAAAGGTTTTGGCTCTGCCATGGACTTATACTGCCTGATATGCCGATTCATCCGCAGCCAACTAGAATTCCTCTACATACAGATATCGGGCCTGCAATTTTCATTTTTCTTCGGAAAAAACATCTCGAGCCTCGATCAAGGTATACAGTAGTTAGCTGTTAAAGAAGGGGTCGATCATGTTATACTCTGGTTAGCTGCGGATGAAAGCGCGTGTCAGGCAGTATGGCCACACGCCCACACCCTCTCTGAGCGGTATGTAAAAAGACTGGTAGGAAAGATAGATGAACGAGTGAGACAGTCTTTTCACGTGCTGCCTTGAACAACTGTGGAAACGGTTTTGGCACCGCTCCAATCTCATTCCGCTTGCCAACGCGACATCGTCGCATCCGAGAGTAAACGATAACCTCTACTGAACTGCAAACTTCATGCAACGCGAGCTTCAGGGTGAAGTATCGCTTATGTAAGAAGTAAGTCGCAGTGTGAAGAAAAGGGATTCGAATGTCTCGAGCAAGAAGATAACGGAAGCGGAGATGGAAAAAATAGAGACGAAAGTCCAAAGATAGAAGGATCGAGAAAACTGAGCGGTAGGAGAAACGACTGCGAGCAGCATAGCGTGGCCCGGTAACGGAACTTCGACCCCCTCACCTTGATTCCATCACACACACACTTCAAACAAGTGTTTGGTTTTTGTGCTGAAAGAGGAGGACCCTCGGCTTCAAAAGACGCAAGGATAGTAATGTCACCGGCACGCACCCGTCGTCCTGGCCCTCCGCACCAGGGCGACCTGGAAAGAAACCGCGGCAACTTGAGCTCATCGTTCTCCCTCCCTCTCCCAAAAAACTAACTGCTACCAGGAAGCCCGACGCAGCCGTATTCGTTGAAGTGCATAGGAAGCTTGACTACCAACTTCGTAAATGAAGCTGCAGTTGTTACAGCTTTTAGGGACTAGGCTATTTCAGAGGCGTGACTGAAACTAATAATAAACACTACCTGATCCTGAAGAGCTTCCATTGCCAGCCAAGGATCCTGCAGAAGAAGTCGCATTCTCAATCCGAGTTCGAAAATCCTTCACCCTCTTCATCTGAAATTACAGTGATCCATGGCAATTATTGTTGCTGAAATTAAAACAATGGAAATAGCGTAACAATAACGAAAGAACGGATAACAGAAGACCGCACAACTTTATTAACCGCTATTATGAAAAGTTGCACAATATGTCGTTCCATTCAAACATAGACCAGACGTCAAGTACAATGTGGGTACCGAGACTGCGTACAATCACTCCAACCGCCGGCTAATGCCGTTTGGACTCCAGAAATTTCGGCACCGAGCTCATTTGTAAACTGCCTAAGTCACCAAACCCGCTTAAAACTTGTATATAGTGGTAGTTTAACATCCTGATAAGAATATAGAATCACTCTTATCGCTGGCGCTAATGGATGACACCACGATTATCTGCGCTCTGCTAAGACTGAGCCCAGGAGGTAATCGTAGTGTCCTCTCTTAGTGCCAGCGACAAGAGTTAATGTCATATTCGTTAACAGGATGTTAAACTACCCTTACATACTAGTTTCTAGCGGATTTGGTGACTTAAGCAATTTAAAAATGGGCTCGGTGCCGAAATTTCTGGGGTCCAAACGGCATTAGCCCCAACCGCCTTGGTCGTAGGAATCGCAAGGTTAAGAACGCTTGGTGAGGGTTACAAATAAGTAAGGTTCCTATCTGGTCCGCTGGACACCTCCGTTTCAGAAGCCAACACTGAACAGTCAATGGCTGTGGCAAACGGAAGCACAAAAGTTGAATGCTTGGATTTCCCTGATTCCTTGTTTAGGTTTAGTTTTTTTGTTTTCTGAAGATATTGACATACAGTACGAAGTTGAGTTTTCAGAGACAAGAACTCCACGCTTTCCAATCTCGTCCACCTCTTGGTTCTACATCAGGATGGATCGAAGTTATGGCCTGGGCATCAGTTCTGCGACTCTCTGAAAGGATATCGAATCAAGTTCTCTCTTAGAGAACGAGATCTTCAGTAAGAGGTAATAACTATGAACAGCTTCGCGATCAATCTCATAAGCTTGAGCGGTCGCGACGGTGTCATATCTGAGTCGTGGAGGTGAAATATCTTGCATGACTTGTCTTCAACTTGATAGTCCTTGAACATTTTACCCCACCACCTTTAGATCTCATCACTTTGAACGATTTGTCACCAAATTAGAAGAGATTATGCATTTCTAGTCTTATGATAAGAAGCGCGTGCACATGCATCAAAAACAAAAATATAAGTTACATCAAGTTGATAACTGAATGATAAATGCTAATTAACACGAAAGAATGACTGAGTCCGGTGTAGCTCAAAGCCAATTTGTGGGCCTTATATGAGGTCGCAGTTCCATGGACTCACTTCTCCAGTGGTTTCAGTGAGTTGCCTCGAGTCGATTCGCAGTTTGGTCTTAATACTTTCAGGTGAAGCAAGCTTAGCAGTATATGTGAGCACAGCTTTCCTTTCATTTACTACCAGTCGGATCGCCCAGCTGTCGCCGGGCGCTCCTCCTTCTGTTACATGGCTCGGCTCCGCCGGGCCATGCGGATTTGCCGCATGCTAAGTTACGGATCGTTGACCAACCACACTGTTCAAAGGAATCTTCTACATCTGCCAAGAACTGGAAAGCGGCGCTCGTTCCGTCAAGACGCAGAAGCAACAGCAGCGCCCCCTGTATCACAAAAGGAGGAGAGCCGGCCTCAGCCAGCGATCCGACTGGTACGTTCATAACCTGCACGGGAATAGTGCAGCCTGTTAGGATAGCCGCTGAGCAGAATATAAGTTACCAGTTTGGCTAACGCGCAGTACTGCGCGCATGGTTGAACCTAAGGTACTCAGGGGGTTTTTCTGCTGAGCACAACACTTGGCCCAATTCCCATTCCTCGGAATGGCCAACTTCATCGTATTTTTCCCTTTTAATGAACATTTACAAATGACTGGCGCTTATCATATTTTTGACAACACTCGCCATTCGTTGGAAATAGGACAGCCTAGCGGTTGAAAGAGTCTCGAGGGTAATAATATCAATATCACGGTGAAATGTCCACACATCCTAGTACATCATTTGAGCAGCTTTCGGGGCTTTTACTTTGTGTTGAAACTCTACAGTTTAGCGAAAATCAAATCCGACTATATCGCCAAGGAATAGAAATATAGAAACATGTTGGCTCACCGGACCTTTGCCCACTGATTCGTTGGCCGCGGTGATTTAGCTTTACGACTCCTAAAAGCCCTTCTCAGACACTATCAGACAGCATCCCTCCTAAATTACTTGCTAGGAGGCATATAGTCCAGTATTGGCCATACGATTGATGCTTTTTGTGAATTTTTGGGGCCTATCTTAGTCATGTTAGTCATCGTCCTGCCACCCACCACGACAACTAATGTTCCCATCTCGCTCCACCACTATCTTTCATCTTGGAAACCAACGTTCTAAGCGTTCGCGGTGTAAGCATGTTGGTCAGGTTTGGTGACCTCTTCCTATTCTGAGGCCCGTTAATATTTTTTTCGTTATCGGCTGTTATCACTTCCTGCCAGCCATGAATATTATTCTCCGCATCTCGTGCCCCCGTATCTTACTTCTTGAAACTAAACGTCCGTCGCCTGTCGACTAACGTCGCGCTTGCTGTCTATAGACATTTGGTGTCGTATCCTCTTGTAAGGCCTGCCTCATAGCCAGTATCCTTATGCAGGCGCCTATCACCGTCCTGCCACCCACCAATGTATGTTCCCATTCTGCCCCCTATCTTCACTCCTCTTGAACACCAAGCGTCCCGATGTCTGCTGTGGCCCGCCGGCGCTATGAAATTAGGTGGGCCCTCCCTTCTAAGGCCCTTATGTTATCTTACTCAGCTCTTATCACATTCCTGCCACGCATACCAATAAGTGTTCCTGCTCCGATCTCCTACATCCACTTATCATTCGAGCGCACAATCGCTCGTTTTGAAGGAAGTATAAATTCCGGTCTAAACACACATACAGACACACAGCAAACATGACATTCACACAGCTACCACAACGACCCGACAAACTTAGCGGATTATACTATAGCTAGGATGCATTTGTCCCTCGGCTCCTAAGGCGGTCCTGCTTTGGATATGCGCTCGCCGCCAGTTCTAGCAGTGGAAACCCTTTTGAATGGCCCTCACACGATAGGCTGTTGTGATGGAAGGTAATTTGTGGTAAGGAGTGATGTAGGTCAATTGCTTTTTGCTGGTTCATGATATGTCTGTAAACAACCCCATGCATTTGGATAAAGACGCTAGCTTAGGGCGGTCATTACATAATTACGATCTACTAATAAGCAGGTGAGGAATGAGTTCTGTTGAAATCACTTGAGATAGCGTTATACTCTGAGTCATATCGCTGGCATTGTTGTGTGAGCGATGAAAGCGGGATTTTCCCATGTTATCTTGCCGCACTTTAAGCTCCTATCACTCCCGTAATCCGCTTATAATATTGCCGTCCCGTAATACACTGATCCATATTCACCCTATATCTGGCTCTCGGATCCGACGGTCCCACCTGTTGCTGCCAACCTGCCGATTACGAATTTGGAGATCCATCACCCTTCGAGCGAGGCCCCCTCTCGTATACTTATCAACTGTTATCACTTTCTGGTCACCCGCGAATAATTGTTGCCGCCCACTCCCTATTTCACTGCCTCCGAAACCAACGTCCCAGACTGCTGGCTGCTGGCTGCGGTCACTATGGGACTGGCGTGCACCATCCCCCTTTGCACGCCTCTATCGAATCTTATCAACTGATGCGCAAGTCATCCTTGTCAGCACACCAATGGGGCTGCCGTCACACTCTCCTCGAGCACTAGGTAAGATCCTATTAACAATGTAGAGATTCTTGACAAGGAATAGCCGAGTGCCGGTTAAGAGGTGGTGGCTCATGTCTGGCACTGCCTGAAGCCACGAGCTCGACCGCTGCCGACGCGTGAAACCATGCCTTGCAAAAATGCTTGACGGTTCCACGCGTTCAGGCGGTCCGTGTTCACTTTTAGTACTAGGTGGTCACCTGCGAAGTAGCGCCAGCAGACCCTCGGCCCGAATGTGGGCCGTGAAGCGACCTTTGGTCAAAAGAGCTAGTTCAATTGGGACCGCTTAATGCTGGGATAGCTTACCGAGAAGTCCCGAGAGTCGTTGCCGGCCTAGGATATTTCAAGCTCCTACGTCTTCAAGCAAACGCGATGGAAAAGAGCGAAGGTCCGCATTATTGAATTAATGGGTCCAAACTCTGTCTTACAATGGAGGATCACCCATGCTAACGCCTGGGACCATTGGAGCGGTCTGACGAGAATCCCTCAAAGACTGTGTCCTCTTCCGTGAAGCTTGTAGCAGTAAATCGCCATCATGGAAGTATAAGAACAGGAAGGAAGGCTCTGCGTCAGAAGTGTGACCCGTGTACGAGCCGCAATGCCGTTGCTCGAGCTGCAGAAGAATGAGGTTCTGTTTGACCCTTAGGGGGGGCGCAGATGATATGATCGCATTCCAGAGGCGAACTAGTATCACCATAACTGGCGGTGACCTAAAATGGACATGTGGGAATGACAGAAGCTGTCTAAGAAGGGCACGTGGAGGCCGTTCAATAGGAGTAAGTAGTGGAGGAGAACGGATTCTCCATAGCATCAGCTCATGATCCAGCAATCTGCAGCACCTTCTTCGCGAAAAGAAAGACTCTGAAGGTAACCCACAGCAGTGGGGAAACAAACGGAAATCGACCACGTGCTTGTCAGAAGACCGTCACTCTCGTCAAAATTGTGAGGGACATCAAGATGCTGCCTGTGGGGAACTGGGTCCTCAGCACAGTCCTCTCCTGGCGGACTTTGTCATGGACACCCCGTGAGGACGAAGTTAAGAATTGAGCGAAGTATCCGATGGTGGAAAATGCAGAGATAGCAAAAAGATAGCCTCTGTCGGAAAATACTGGTGGCTGGGCTACCAGACCCACGCGGGCCAGTCCAGGAGACCGAGGCCAAAACAGTAGAGGTTATCCCACGATGTACAAAGGAGGCCCTGAAAGAGACTCGAAGTGGGTTCTGAAGAGACAAGGCAGCATGGTTCTGGAACGAGTAAATCCAGAGGATTGTTAATGAGAAGAAGGAGGCATACAAGAGTGAGTAAAAGACAATGAGCTCAGAAGATCTCGCTGACCACAAGAGCTGCAAGCGACTTGCTAAGGCAGCCGTTGCTAAGGCCAAGAATATGGAACTGGACGCTACGGAACTGGACGCCTTGTAGACCGAGAAGGGGGCCTGGCCGAGAAGGGAACAAGTTCGTATCCCGCCTGGCTAAAGCTCGGTATGGCGCTACATAAAGGCTGAGCCAGCATTCAAATTTGATGAGTTATGCGGCTCAAATGTCTATAACAAGGTCGCAAGTAATCCCTTAGTGAAGAAAAATCAGAAAGAAATCATAGGAAAGGTTCCGTTTAGAACCCATTGCTTAATTGAGGTTGTACGTGCTCAAGGCGAAGAGAAGGTGCGGTCGCACGAGTTCCCACTTGTTGATATCAGCTGTTTTCCCTTATCACCTCACTCTCAGCACTCGACGTGGAGAAAAGCAGCAGCGAAACAACCGCACCATGAGATAACCTTTAGGAATGAATGGAGGGCGGTGCCAATGTTTGTGGGTTGGCCCAATGAGAAGAACGACGGCATCGTGGGCCTCCTCACTCGTTTTTGCGCCGCGGCAGCAGCGTAATTGTTGCCCCTGCAGACCTGACTACCTGCTCACGAAGGG